ACAATGAAAGCATATCGAACCATAGGCTATCCGGGCACTAAGACATTAAAAGCATAATCCGCCGGCTACGAGTAAATGCCATATGTATGTGTCTCGGAGGGATAATAACCGGGAATCCACAAACTCGATGAAGACACACGTATGCGTGAAAGTTCGAAAATTGAGCCTCTAGCCCCATAATAGTACTCGCCATGGCATAACCCGGCCAACTTGTCAATCAAAGTATAGCCTCAAGCACTGCCGAACACCAATGATATAGTAAAATTCAAATCAAACGCCAAAGTTCACCGCTTTTCCCAAAATAATCAACGATAACTCCGAACGAGCCTCACACCGAAAGACAATAGCCGAAATCCTCCAAATTTTCAGTATAAGCTCACAAACCCTCGATACACCTCCCCGACACTTAGTATATATCACCTCCAACTCAATAAAGTCACGCCCAATTCAAATACAAATGGCACAAGTAGGTCTAAGTGGAATACCTTGCAAAAGGATGATCTCGGCACCAAGAGTAAGAAAAATCGGGCAATGAGTCGTGTCCAAGCTCCAAGAGAGTGAAAAATCCATGAAAAACGAGTGAAAGAGGTGGAATCGCTGCAAAATAAGGTTTGCGGCGGCTTTAACGGCTCGAAACGGTCCGGGGAGATAAAAAATGCCATTTCCGGCCGGAAAATGTCGACGGCGGCCGAAAAACGGGGCCCGGGAGGTTCGCCGGAAAATTTGGCCGGAAAAGTCGCCAGTCGCCGGAAAATATCGCCGGCAGTCGCCGGGTGCCCCAGGGCTCGGTGGTTCGGCCGGTGGCTTGATGTGGCTCGATGTGGCTCGATGGCGGCTCAAGGTGGCTCGGTGGCGGTGCATGAGGCATGGGTCGCGGCTTGGTCGGGCACGGGCCTGGGCACATGGCGCATGGGCACGTGGGGTGCACGGGTGAGGGGCGCGAAGCGCGGGTGTTTCCGCTGTGCGGATGTGATGCATATGTGGCTAGGCAGATGAAGAACGCCTCGAGCGGGGCCTATAATGCGCGCAAGAGGTTAGCGCGGCAGGCGGGTGAGACGCAAGCCATCGCGTGCGAGGCATGCGCGGTCGGCGAGGGGGACCCGGCGGAAGAGAGCGCGCGGCTAGCGCATGAGCAAAATGCGGTCGCGAGGGGTGAGGCGAGTGGCACGAACGCGGCTGGCGCGAGGGACGCGCGCGATAAAGCCTCGAGTGGCAGGGACGCGCGAGGAAGCCGCTGGGCGCGAGGACACGAACAAGGCGCGCAGCTGGGAGGCACGCGCGAGTACAGGCGGCGCGACCTTAGTCCTCGAAGACTAAGGCAAGGCGCGCGGGGGTCCAAAGGCGGCAAGTAGAGCGGTTGGGATTTTTGGCTTGGAGTGCAAGTCAAGGCTTTTCAAGATCCCTTAGTTATTTGGTTTCCTTATTCCATTATGATTTCTAGATTGATTAGGATACTTAATATTTTATTGCTTTATTAGAGTTATAGTTAGATTAGGAATAGATCTATTTGATGCCTATATAAAGACCCTTCCTTTTGTTATTTTTTATGATTAAGAAATTAATAGAAAAACCAAACTTTTGTTCAAACACTTTGCCTTAGATTTCTTCTAGATTTCTTTTGCAATTTTATCGACTCGAAGGGGCGCGGTTGTGTGAACCTACGAGGCACCTACCGGCGATTCAAGGCACGAGTTTGTGGCTTATCGGCAATCGGGACACGCGATCTTCATCATTGGTGCTTTCATTGAGAGTATCTAGATCGTGTGTCTTTTTCTACCCCATTCCCTTTCCTTTTTCTTCTTCTTTATTTTCGTCCCCCTATAAAAAAAAAAAAAAATCTTCAAGACGAGTCCTCGAAGTAAAGAAAAGAAAGATATGGCCAACAAAGAGATGAAGGACAAGATCGACAACCTAGACGTTCAAGTCCGAAGCATGAGCGAAGCCATAGACACCCTAGGTGAAGGGCTCGACACGACTAAGGCATCGGTTCTTGATTTAATAGAGACCGTGAACAGGAGGTTCGACGAGGTGGTGCGCGGCTTCCAACATTATGTGCGACCTCCTCCACGACAGCCGAGGCGCGATCGACCCGAGGAGGAGGAACATCGGCCCGATGAGCGCGAGCACGAGGAGGACTTCGATCAACGGTCGCAAGCGTCTAGCGTACACGACCGCCCGAGGCTCGACAAATCGAGGCTCACGCTGTCCACCTTCACCGGCACCGATCCCGAGGCATGGCTCAACCAGCCGTGCAATACTTTGAGCTCAACGAGACCGAGGCCAATGACCGCGTGCGATATACGGCCTATTACCTAGATGGCGAGACTAACGTCTGGTGGCAATGGCTCACGAACGTATACCGCAAACGGCAGTGAGTCATTAGGTGGGGTGATTTCGAGCGCGAGTTACTCACGCGTTTCGGGACTTCTAACTACCGTAACTACGACGAGGCCCTTTCGCGCATACGCCAAACCGGCAGCCTGCGCGATTACTTGAAGGAGTTCGAGAAGCTAGCTTGTCACGTCAGGGACTAGCCCGAGACCGCATTGGTCGGGGTATTCATCGGCGGGCTTAAGTATGATCTAGCCGCGGAGGTTCGATTGGAGCGGCCCGACTCGATGCAGGCGGCCATGGAGATTGCCCGGCGCCGTGACGATCATCTCACCGCTACTCGAAGGGGATGGACGGACGCACGTTTCCCCGAGCCGCGACGTACAACCAATTTCGCACCGAGCATCAGGCCACCAAGCGGCACGCGACCAACCAAACTCGGAGTTCAAGCGACTATCGCTCGAGGAGATAAGACGTCGACGTGAGAAGGGGCTATGTTTCAAATGCGAAGAGAAATTCACCCCGAGTCACCGATGTAAGCAAGCATTCGTGATAGACGTTATTGACATGGATGACTAGGAGCCCGAGGTTGAGGAAGGCGATGAAGAAGTTGAGGATGAAGCCGAAATCTCAATGCACGCAATGGCGGGAACTCGAGGCCCAAGGACGATGCGGCTACCGGCGTGGGTCAAGGACCGCCGTGTGGTTGTGCTCGTGGATAATGGGTCATCCCATAATTTCATCAACACCACGTTATCCCAAAAGCTGAAATTGCCCACGACGGCAATAGAACCATTCGAGGTCCGGGTAGCCAATGGAGAACGGCTCAGGTGCACCGAGTCCTATCGCAAGGTGCCAATCAAGTTCCAAAGAGTCACCATCAAGGCCGATCTCTACGCATTACCCCTGGTTGGACCCGACGTTGTGTTAGGAGTCCAATGGCTCGAAGGCTTAGGGGAAGTGACCACCAACTACAAAACTGGAGTTATGAAGTTCAAAGAGGGAGAACAACAAGTCACGCTAAAGGCAATTGAGACCAGTGGAACCAAGGAGGTTGGTCTCAAGAGCATTGAGCGGGTTTGGCGCGGGGGCGGCCAAATCTTTGCAGTAGTCGTCGAGAACGCGGACGCGCCCATCACCGAGTCCGACCTGCAGCAGGGCGAGGTGCGCGCGTTACTCGAGGAGTTCGACCGCGTGCTGGGCATACCTAAGGGTTTACCCCCGCACCGTGAGTTCGATCATCGCATACCGTTGGCCGACGAACAACACGTTGTGCACGTACATCCTTATCGGTATGCTCACTTTCAGAAGACAGAGATCGAAAGGCAAGTTGGCGAGATGCTTGAGTCCGGGCTCATTCAGCATAGCTCAAGCCCGTTCTCATCACCAGTGCTCTTAGCAAAGAAGAAAGATGGCACATGGAGGTTCTGCACTGACACAAGGCTAATCGAATACAAATGAATTAAAATATTTTTTACTTGTGTTAATTTGACATTGTCGAAAAATTAAGATTGGGTTGGAGTGGTTCCGCCCCTGTCTATCATTTTCAATCGTATCTCTTTTACTTTTATGTCAAATCATAATTATTATATTTTAAAGATCATTTTAATACAAGCTTAAAATCTCACTCAATTCTTCGAGTGGTTCCGCCCCTGTCTACCATTTTCAATCGTATCTCTCTTACTTTTATATCAAATCATAATTATTATATTTTAAAGATCATTTTAATACAAGCTTAAAATCCCACTCACTTCAAACCAAATCCATTTCTTTCAAAACTAACGCTAGTTATTCAACAAATTCAATCAAATTCAATCAAATTCAAAATAACTTATATCCAATCACCCTCACGATCCATATATCAGTGGGTCGATATTTTCAAGTTGGTGACATTGAATTTTTGAGTGAATAAATATTGTACCTAACTAGTAACCTATGGACGTAGATGAGATTAAGGTGGTCCAATATTAGCTGATAATGTGACATTTATAAATCAAATAGGTTATGCACCTAGTTAATTTTACCTAGATCGAAGGAAACTAAGCTCTCACTGAAATTACTATCAAAGAGACGAGGAATGGAATTTCTAATGCCAGTCCTAAAGTTTCTTTTAGTCGATCTGAATGATTTTAGTGCAAGTACGATCATAAACAACAAACGATCTGATGCGATTTAACTGAAACAAGAAACTAAGACATGAGATGCCCATAAATGGTAAATAGTGTTGTTAATCTCAAACAAAACAATAACAACATTCAATTATTGATATTATTTTTCTAGTTAGAAAAGTTACCAATAATTTTTTTCGTAAATGGTCCATTATTTACCTATACAATATATATATATATATATATATATATAATTCATAAAACGTTATTTATATCTCTGCACTACTATGTATTATTATTAGTACTACTAGTTAAAGACAAACAATTAAGAGTCCTTAAAAGACAATAACATTTTGCAGTTGCACGCAACCAAATGGCTGTTAGCTAGACACGTATGAATCCAACTAAAGAGTAGTTGCCACAATGGAAGGGCAATGAATTTAATGAAACTCATCACCCATGTGATGTACATGTGCATAAGAGTGGTTTCAAGATGTACACTGTACACAACTTACACTGATAAAAGTTTTTTAGAAAAACAATTTTAATAATTTGCCAAGAATGGAGGAGCACATTTATAATTTGGATATAGAGATGGGTGTTTTGAGGCATACATTTAATTCTGGGAAAACAAAGGATGAATCATGGAGGAAGACACAGCTCAAGAATCTGCTGTCTCTGCTTACGGAGAACGAGGCCGAGATTTACTCTGCACTAAGACAAGATTTGGGAAAACACCCAGTTGAATCATTTAGAGATGAGGTGCGTATTAATTTATTATTATTATAAGCACACATGCATGCAGAGGCTTAATATCCAATTTCCCTTCTGTTTGTCTTGATTTGTGTATTAAAGGCTGTTTTTTTTTTTTTTTTTTCTTTTCTTT